TTTTATGGATGGGCGCTTTTTATTTCACTTATTTTGGACTGAAGCACTGCAACACCTGCTGACTGTAATGATAAAGCTTGGAATAGCCAGGACAATTTTTAATCTAACTCCGATTGGATTCGTCTGAAAGAAGAAAGTCATATACACCTAGGATGGCTCTGGGGTGAGTAAAACACAGCCTAATTTTCATTTTTGGGTGAACTAGCCCTTTAACATCTTCCAGTGTGTGGCCAGCCTAACACAGGAAACAGTGCAAAAGAATTTCAGTCCAACTAAAAAGTCCATAATATGCATGAAATAAAGAAATGTTAAATGTTGTTTTAAAAACAGTCACCACATATATGTATGTATGTATGTGTGTATACAGTATATAGATATAGTAATTATTATATGAATAGTAATTACTTGGACATTTAAAAAAAGTAAAAAGTGCAAATTACTGCAGCACAGAAGCTGAATTTGAAATTGGGTTTCTAACCATGTTATACACGTTGCTCACTTAACATAGTTGGTTATTAATTGGTTATTAATTGAGAGAAATTTTGTTTTCCAGCCTCAATACTTTCCCCAGCTGACCAATAGTAACACCTCACCAGCACCTGAACTGAAGAATAAACACAGACACAAACACGACCATCATCTTCCCAACATCTGACCTTGGGACTGGTGCAAATGTGTTTAGGGCACACATGTTTTCAGTGGAACGAGCTGATGCATGTATTGCAAACAACAGAGGATTGCAGAAATGCTGTTATATAGAAGGACTGACACTGTAATATTAGTAATATTACTGAAGCATATCTATTTTAACAGTTAATGTTGACAGATAGTCCTGGAATCTGATATTCTGCATATACAGTGGCCACAAAAATATTTTGACACCGCACAAAAGTTATCTATTATACATACATTTATAAATTTAATAGTGTAAAAAGTTATTAGTGAATTCGACTATTATAAATTTCTGATAAAAAAATCATCTACTGTATGTCTGTTGAGGAAAGTGTTATCTTTTTAGTTGTTTAAAGGCCATTAAACAATGGCTCTGAAAATATCTACCATCTTTTGTTTGCAGATTCCACTTGATTTTTTATCTAATGCAGTGACATTCAGATGTTAAGTGTGATTTGAGTGTCTAAATGTGTCTAAATGTATTTTTGCGGCCACTGTATGCAGGCAAAAGTTGGAAGGTAAAATTAAGCACACATTAAACTTGACTGTATGACTGAATAATTGTCCGTGTGCTTTGATTTCAAGATAGTATCAGTTCTGTGTGCCATTAAGAAAATAATGTATCTGCACTGTTTTAGCGTTATGCATAAATAAAACTTTTTTGTTTGTTTGTTTTTCGTGTCAGTTTCCTCTTGATTTTCCTTCTAGAAAATGAAACTTTTCTCAGTCTACTTTAGTATGATGCAAAATTTTGGTAGCACAACCAGTTCAGAACCACTGACCAAGATAACGCAGACACTTTAAGGACAATTCTCAGATGTTTAGCTTAGAGTTGTTATAGTAACTTACAATTCAAATGAAAGTTTTACCAATTTAAATAATGTAAGCATAAAAAGACACAGAAGAAAACAAGGCTGTTTCAGCGCTTTCAGTGGGTCAGATATGCATACAGGTTTCCAGTCACTGATATTCCGGATGAGACAGTGATCCGTAGCCCTCCTGACACTTGGCTTGACTGATCGTCTCCAGCTCTTTTATCAGATTACTGGCTTGAGTGATGTATGGTCCACTGTGTACTGCCACTGCACTGACCTAAACTCATCAGAGACATTCCTACAGCTCCATTAGAACTATTACGTCATACTTGCAAGTTCATGTTCTATTACTCCGTTTTAGGAATTAGCATTTTATGTGTTTTATAATAATTTTACAACTTTTATTGCAATAATATAAATCCATTAAAGGGGGGGTACAATGCTGTTTCATGCATTCGGAGTTGTTTACACTGTTAAAGAGTTGGATTCTCATGCTAAACATGGACAAAGTTTTAAAAAACAATTTGGACGTATGACGGAGTATTTCTGTGCTAAAAATCTTACTTCCGGGTTCGTACAAGTTTCAGAGAGTTTTTTTCGATCGTGGCTCTTCATGACGTAGACGAGGGTGGAACTCCTTATATGGGCATTTCTCCCGGAAGAGTGCGCCAGCGACATAGTTGCCAAGTCCGCGTATTATACGCGACTTTGGGCTTTTTTTTTTGTAAAGTTGCGTGAAAAAATCTGACAAGCAACTTTGTTTCTTTATTTATGTTCGCCGTATTCTCCATTAAAGATAACTTTGTTCAGCTTCCTAAAGAACCCAGCGTCATGTAAACAGCGGATGCAGTTTGTTTTTCCGGGGCAGCAACGGAGTTTCACAAGTGTGTTTGTTGAGGAATGTTTTATAAACAAGGCCCAGTTCGACGCTGGATTTGCACATCGTTTGATACTGAAAGATGGAGCGGTCCCAGCTATAAAAGATCCCGGTCATGATTCAGAACTGCAGACGGTAAGTGAAACGGCATCAAATGTCTGTTTTGTTGGCATTCGGCACCCAAGTGCTTGTCACTCTTTAGCTCCGCCCACGGCGCGCCTCCAGGAGCTCGGCTTTTTCCGGAGAGAATCGTAAAGCTGTATCTTTCTTTTATAAATATGATAAAACTAAAGACTTATTGGAGATATGAAGGATGCAGTACTACTCTATAGGTACTCAAGATTAACATGAGATTGGGTGAAACTGTGTGTGTTATGCCCCCTTTAAACGACAACACCATTTGATCTCAAACCAACTGTACAAATCTCTAAATATTATTCCCTATAATTCACAAGACTTGTGTTTTCAGATTATGACTTTGTTGTTTTTATATACGGTACTGAAACCATATTTTTTATTTGTTTAATATACTGTACCTACGTAAATTCATTAAACTCTGCCACCGTTATCAACCCAACTGTGAAATTCTGTAAATATTTGACACAGGAGGACCCATGCTCGTGATCTCGTCTAGAGCCCCATAAACTTCACGCAAGGCACTTGCGTGGGACGATGTGAACAGATCACTTCCTGTTTACACAGTCAGACTTTCCTCTAGATAGGTTAGCGGTTGCTGCGAAAAAGGTTATTTCTCTATCCATCACTGTCCGGCGTGTCCGCTCGCCTGTTGCTTTCGAAATGTGTCTTTTTGCTATTTTATTTCTCTGCAGCAGAAATGCTGTCACGCAAAATAGAGCAACGAATTGTTTATTGTAAAGCTTTATGAACGCTTTGCAATAAATAAAATAGCCTACCTGAAAATCCGACCGAGGTGAATGTAACAGCATGTGTTTAAAGTAGTATGAATGTTGTAGAATACTGTGACTCAGTTCTTTGTGTGTTTATATGCATTTTGTTTATATTAAAAGTCAGTTAAGGTTTCGTTTTCGGTATGTTCTGTACACTGCGACCTTATTGGAACAGCATGAATCTTTTGTATTTTTACAGCACAAGTCTTAGTGCTTTTAGACTAAATGTTCAAAATTATTTTACAATATGTATTCAAGACTGTAAATTCACATGTACATGGAGTTGACTTAAACAATGAAATGAAGCAGCGAACGCTTGAAACCAATGTAAACTTTATTGACTTTGTTTAATATTTAATTTAAAAAAATTGTCACACCACAGTAGATTAACAAATAAAAATGGAAATGCAGCATCTCAGAATGTATCCAAACACACTCAGGATCTTTGTCACTCCATATTTAACTTTAGTTAAATAGTAATTATTTTGTGGCTTTCTATTTGTGTAGTGGTTTCTTGGAGTGATCGGTGTAAACCTCCATGAGGACTGAATGATCCATGGACGAGACACAAACATTTAGAGATGGAGACTTTCATCCAGAAATCAGGTACTCACATTTAAGTCACCATTAAATGATCTTAATGAGGAGGAGAGTTTCAGAGATATAATGGCATCTTTTTATACAGTCAAATTACTAATACAAACAATAAAGAGATCAGAGCTTGAACCCTTATAACTTATTTGGATATTATACTTTAATCATATTTCACAATGGTGTCCCAAACAACAACAATTTACATTTTACGCTGCACAGTATATAAAAAACAGCTTTTTTAATATAGCCTGCTGACACACACACCTACACATACACACACACACACACGCATGCACAAACCACACTTACACACACACACACACACATACGCATGCACACACACACCTACACACACACACACACACACACATATTTCACAGGCTGGTCCTTCCTCTGACCTCTGACCCCTGCAGCACAGACGGCCCTACAGCTGCAGCGTCTCATATGCTAAATGCTCATTTACATACATCTGAATTAAACCAAGACAGCAATTAAGACTCAGATGAGATTGTGAGACTAAAGTGACCTCCAAAACACACAAATACACACGCGCACACTCACACGCACACACACACACACGCACACACACACGCATGCACACACACACGCATGCACACACACACACACACACACACACACACACACGTGTTTTAAAAATGACTTTATTACTTGAATGACAAGTTAAAACTATTGACAAGTTTAATTGACAAGTTAAAACTAAATAAATCTCCCAGAAATGATGGTCTGACCAAAGAGTTTTATAAGAAATTTTCAAACGATCTTTCTCCGTTTCTCCTCAATGTTTATTTAGAAAACCTTAAAAAAAAAAAATTTTCCCACCCTCTATGACTCAGGGTACAGTATTATAAATTCGATCCCTAAAGCTCAAAAAGCTATCAGTTCTCAGATTTCCTTACCTGCTTGTGTAAGTTTTTGGAATAACATATTTTGTGATATAGAATGGGCTTCTTTGACAAAAATCCTTTTTTATCTAATAAAGTTGTTGAAGTCTCTATTAGAATTATCCATAATTGCTACCCAGAAAATATTTTTTTTTGGGACAGTGATTATTGTAAAGTATTCTGGGTTCACTTTTCCAATTTTGTTAAAAAATAACTATATTCAAACTTCTTTATATCCCCAGAAATTGTGTGTTTTGGTTACTCTTTGAATCTAGACCCATATCACATTAAATTTATTATTAAATTGTTGCTATTTCTTACCAAATTTACCTTCATAAATTAAAATTTTCAAAGAAAACTCCTTCCTTTTTATTCTTAGGAAAGATTTTGATATGTATTTAAACTCTTTAAGAAACTCTAATAATTTTATTGCATGTAAGACTCATGGTGTGACTCATATAAGATAACATCGTAATCTTTAAATTAATGTATATAACCCTCATTGTTTTTGTTCTTATTTTATCTTTGTATTTGTAATTGTTATTCTTTTACTGCATAATAATAATAATAATAATAAAAAGTTTGTTCTGAGAGACTTCTTATGATTTATGGGGATTAAAAAAAGGAGCGGTTGGACTTTTATCATTATAGGGCGGTTGTGTTCATACACTGCCAACACACATTTATGTCCAAACACCATGTAAAAGTGAATGTTGCATAATAGGTGCCCTTTAAAACACTAATAAAAGTATTATAGACAAAATTCCTGAAATATTTTTATTCAAATTCATTATGTAGCACACTTCCACTAGATCAGTGGTTCCCAACCCTGGTCCTGGAGGCACCCCAACACTGCACGTTTTGCATGTCTCCTTAATCAAACACACCTGATTCAGGTCATCAGCTCATTAGTAGAGACTCCAAGACCTGAAACTTGTGTGTCAGAGAAAGGAGACATGCAAAATGTGCAGTGTTGGAGTGCCTCCAGGACCAGGGTTGGGAACCACTGCACTAGATACAGTCCCAGACTTCACCCAAAAATTTAAATTCTGTCATCAGTTACGCACCCTAAAATTGTTCAAAAATTGTAGTTTTTTTTTTTTCATCTGTTGACCACCAAAGAAGATTTTATTTTTTATTTAAATTTTTTTACCCATTGAATATGGGTAACCAAACAGTTGCTGTTGTATGTTTGTTTATTTTTATTTTTTTTTGCATACTATGGAAGTCATTGGGGACCAGAAACTGTTTGGTTGCCATCATTCTTCAAAATATCTTTGTGTGTGTGTCTTCAACAGAATAATAAACATTTCATTTCTAGGTGAACTGTCCCTTTAACAGCACGTTGCTATGCAACACACATGCCATAACATTAAATGACATCTGAAATATAATTTGTATATTTGTGCTCTTTAAGGCCCATCTACCAAGATAAATCAGAACCCAGTTGTGTGTCCATGAAGAGTGAGCGGTCAATGGGATGCCCTCCAAAATTTAATGGTGAAATCTTTCCTCCTGGTTACAGGTAATTACTGTAGATGACAGAAAAATTATAACATTGTGTAACTGAGATGGAATTGTGATATAATTTCCTCTTTAGCTCCACTTAACAGAATATTAAAAAAGTCATATATAAATCATCGGATCTAGACTTACAGTTTCAGGATATTTTGTATGACAAGGAATGATAAGAAAATATGGTAACACTTTACAATAAGGTTCCATTAAATAATGTTAGTTAATGCATCTGTGTTTACATTAATTCCCACCAAAAATTATTGTCAGTGATCGCTTTTCTATGCACATGGTAGACCCTCTGGTTTTGAAATCCCGGAAAATAATGGTAATTTTCATCTACAGGTTGTTAGATGTAGAATTCTGGAGTGAAATAAAGTAGCGCTGTAAGAATATATTTATTTAAATGAATTAAAATAAATGAACGAGAGAGAGAGAGTGCGCGAGTCTATTAGTTGACTAATAGTGAAGCTTGTTCGTTTAATTACAAAAACAGCGAAGTTATCACCTCATTGCTGAGAAATATAATGAAGCTTTTAGTAGGGAAATGGTTATGTTTATAAAATTCACAGAGAGAGGTCTTTTAAATTTAAAACCGTTAAAAGAAAGGCTCAATATCTGTGCAACAGTTATTGAGCCTTTCTTTTAACAGTTTTAAATTTCAGTTACTGTGCACGTTAAAAACAATTTATAGTCTTTTCTACGCCCGTGTTTTGTTCTCACAGATACCCGGTAGCAAGTAACAAAACAACATTAAACTCCGGCAAGAAGATAAAGTCCTTGTTGCAAAATCATAGACATGTATTTACAAATCAATCTTGATCTTGGAGACTGACTGCTGTAACCGAACGCGACCAGGGTTTAAAGGCTGAACGAATGACTGACAGCCACAGTGGAGAAAAGAGTTTGTGTGAACTTTAATGTAAGGACTTAAATATTCATATGTAGCTCACATTAACCCTTTCGCATGTGAGTTTAAAATATTCTAGCTGAGCCCCCAGCGTGAGGTTTTTTTTTTGACCGTTATTTTAGAATGTATCGCCTTATTGCTTCCATGGCGACGCATCATGCTTGTCATGTGACACAACGCATCTGTATGACACATGGATCGCTTTTATTTCGTTTTTCCTGTTTTATTGTATTTTACAAACTGTAAATGTATGGTTTGCTAGTACTTATGTGTATTTAAATGTCTGAAACCTAAAATAAGCATTATATGGTTGAAAACACTGAATATTTGTGATAATATGACAAGCGCTCAGCGCGGCCAATCTGGCTCCGCGCCAGCCAAAGCGCGAAAGCGGATTTAAATCCAGCGGTTGATGACGTGATGCACTGAAAGTTCTAATCACACTGGTGTGATCGTGTGGGGGAGGGGTTAAGATTATGCCGAGTTCACACTGCACGATTTTCAAAGACGTCTCATCACTGTTGGTTTCACACTGAACGACTATCTGGGGTAGCATTCAGTTGTTGCTTGTTTCTGTATGATATAATTGTTCATATATCTATTAAAATACTGATATTCTGGTCTATAACTCCTCCCCGAACTTCCCTCTGCCCTGTATCTTGGTCTCTCATTGGCTGTAGGTCATCGCCGATGTGTTTTTCAGTCAGAACTCATTTCACACAGCGTGATTGTGAATCGCCGACAGCTCCAGATATTTAGCATGCCAAATATTTCACGGGCGTCGGCGACGCATCGGCGATTCCCTCAGATCGCGTCTTTGATAATTCACACTGCGTGATTGTCACTCGCGTGAACGAGCACCGATTTGCCTCCGATTTCGGGCATTTGTCGACGATTTCGCAAAACCTGTCGGCGAGTGAAAAATCAGCTAAAATCGTGCAGTTGTGAACTCGGCATTAGGCAATCAGGTAGCGACTTGAACGAAAGGGGTAATAATTTGGCAGGGGGTCAAAACTGGGCACAACACTGGCCCAAGTCATAAGCAAACTAATGCCGAGTTCACGCTGTCAGCGATTCACAATCACGCTGTGTGCAATGATTTCTGACTGAAAACTACATCGGCGATGACCTACAGCCAATGAGAGACCAAGATACAGGGCAGAGGGAAGTTTGGGGAGGAGTTATAGACCAGAATATCAGTATTTTAATAGATATATGAACAATTATATCATACAGAAACAAGCACAAACATTTGCTTGACCAGCCACAACATCAGCATAACAGTTACTGCAAAATTATTTACCTCCAACTCTCTTTGCAGAACACCCAATCCCTGTTCCCTGCATCTCCCTCTTGCATAATCTGTTTTTCTTTTTCTCCTTGTAGCTGGAAATCAGCTCACAGACAATTTGTGGGCTATATATATATATATTTAATAATTACAGTCTCGCTGGAGAAGTCCGGTCTGACGCACGCGGGTTCTGGCGTTATTTCCTTATCATTTCTCTCGTGTGTTTTGTTGTGAAACGTAGTTTGCGGACCAGACAGAGCTGTCGGCGATTCTTCCTATTGTAAAGTCATGCAATGTGAAACCCCCTGTCGCCGATCCATCGTGCAATGTGAACACAGCAGCAACTGAATGCTACCCCAGATAGTCACGCAGTGTGAAAACAACTGCGATCCGACGAGTTTGAAAATCATGCAGTGTGAACTCGGCATAAGCGGTTCACGTGGCCACCAGGGGGCCCCCAAGAGTATATGAAACGACAGCTTGATTTTTTTATTTATTTTTTGTGTGTGTGTGTTATATATTATGTCAATGAACAATGGTAATTGTCCTGGCTGACTAGTTAATTAGCATAGCCAAGGTAGGGTATATTGTTTTAGGGAAGTTCATGTTTGATTAAATATCCGTAAATAGCCTTGACATCTTAATATATTATAATATTTTACTTAGCCAGTTTTTGATTAAAGTTTTTGTCTTCTGTTTAAAAATAACTTTCCTGGGTATACATTTTTGTAATAAAAATAAGCTTCTGTTTCATAAACTTTGTGCTGATAACAGCTTAACATTATTTACCTTAGCCTACATATTATATTCCAATATCATTATGCCTCAATTAGCTAGTTATAGATTAAGAGTTGTTTTAGATGTGTATTTAATCATTTATGTTGTTAAAATAACATTCTGTTCTGTAAATGCATTGTCTGGTGGTTTATTTAGCTACTTTTCAGTACACCACATTAAATATGCCACTTAGTACTGTAAGACTTTGAATGTTCAAGTGCAAATTAACACCAGACCACTCTTGTGGGTTTGCTAATGTTACAATTAAAAATTGTAGAAGGGTAAAAACATGCCAGGCAGACTTTAGTATGATGCAAGCAACACCGCTACAACAAATAAAATTGATAATGGGTGTGTTAGATTTATAGTGTGCGAATAATCAAGTGTTGACAATAATCAGTCATATTGGTGGCGCTGAGAGGCCTCCATGTAAAGTTCTGCTTAGGGCCCCATAAAGGCTTGGGCCGGCTCTGTGAAAGTGGCTCAGATCGGAATTGAAAAAAAAAGTGATTCTGTGTTTACACTGGCACAAAAAAAATCAGATTTTTTTGCTCACATCTGACACAGATCGAAATTTCACAAAAATCCATACGAGTCCGCATCGGATACCAGTCGTGTTTAAGTGAATGTCAGCGAGCGGGCCAAAAAATCGGATATGGTCAAAAGATCGGATCTGTGCATTAAGACCTGCAGTGTAAATGCAGTCTTTGTGTTTACACGTGTGCAACAAATTCCAGTCTGTTTCAGATGTGAGCAAAAATCAAGTCACCTTTAAGGCAAGTCACCTTTATTTATATAGCGCTTTTAACAATACAGATTGTGTCAAAGCAACTGAACAGCATTAATCTAAAATGCTAGAAAAGAGATAGTTAATAGTTTCTGTTACATCATCAAGTTGTTCTGAGGTTTTGGATATTGAAGCACCATTACTTCAAACGAGTTATACTTGAAGCCCACCTTCTGAGAAATACTGAAATACTGAAAAAAATCAGATTTATTTGTGCCAGTGTAAACGCAGCTAAAGTGACAATTCCAAAATGAGTTGTTTTAGCAGCTTGATTTCAATAAAAGCTGTTTTTTGAACAAGAAAGATTGAGTTCTGAAACTTACAGGATGTTTTTATGGTACATTGACCCGTTTTATGTCGAAAGATCAAAGAAAATTTGTTTTCTCAGTTCATGACCCCTTTAAGACACAGTCTTTAAAGGGATAGTTTACCCAAAAATTAAAATTACTCCATGATTTACTCACCCTCAAGCCTTAGGTGTATATGACTTTCTTCTTTCGGATGAATACAATTATAGTTATATTTTAAAATGTCCTGGCTCTTTTAAGCTTTATAATAGCAGTGAATGGTGGTTGAGATTTTGAAGCAAAATAAATTGCTTCCATCCATCATAACCTCCAGTTAATAAGGTTAATAAAGACCTTCTGAAGCGAAGCGATTCATTTGTGTAAGAAAAATATCCATATTTAAAACTTTAGAAACCATAATCTCTATCTTCCGCTAACTGTCGTTCGTGTGTTCACGAGAGAGTGGCGTTCCAGTGGATGATGTAGGTCATAGACGTAGAAGTGACGAACACGGAAGCACAGAGGAGAGAGCAAAACAAAACAAAACACCGGTCACAAATTAGAAGTACAAAAAGGGGATTTGTAAAGAAACATGTCAGAGGATTTCAATATAAGCCAAGAGGAGACTGGTTTTGGATATTTTTCCTACACAAATGCATTGGTTCACTTCAGAAGGCCTTTATTAGCCCCCGGAACCGTGTGGAGTACTTTTTATGATGGATGGATGCACTTTATTTTGCTTCAAAATCTCAACCTCCATTCACTGCCATTATAAAGCTTGGCAGAGCCAGGACATTTTTTTAATACAACTCTTGATTGTATTCGTCTGAATGAACAAAGTCATACACACCTAGGATGAATTGAGGGCGAGTAAATCATGAGGTAATTTTTGGGTGAACTGATCCCAGGCAGGTGTGGCCAATTAGTAAGCTCCACCTAATGAATGATGATCTCTAATTCATAGTTACCTTTCATGGGAACTTCGAACTGCGTCCTCTAGGGGTCGCTATGGGGAACGCCTCGCAGTGACGCCGAGACCTGGAGGACAAAACATCCATAGAACTGGAGCACAGGCCTGCTGTTTCAAGCCACGAATATTTAGATCACAAGAACAAACAAACAAACTGCAAGTTCTGGGCATTTAGAATCCATATACCGCACCCACTGTAGTATTTTATCACCAAAAGCAGCAGGACATTCTAAATGTGCTTAAAAAATGCTTAAAGTGGATTTATACTGAATTTAGTCTTTTAAGATCACTGTCTTAGTACATTAGTACTTAGTGCAAAACTGGTAAAAAAGTAATTGGTTGGCAGCGGGAAAAGCCTTGTTTTGCCCTCCAGGTGGGCGTTCCTATAAGGATGTGAAGTCACGTGAAAAATATGAATTCGCACAAAGGATGCCACTGCAAAAGTTTCAAATTGTAGTAACACTCCAAATGCGGAGTGAATGCAGTTGTGAATGCTAAGTGAATAGAATACTAATTGGATGCAGTTGTTTAAGGACATTGATGATTTTTGACACACTATGTTCTCCAGCAAGAGTCACAGGTCAGTCTTTAAACCCAGGGATTTTGATTGTGGCGGCTGTTGATTTATCTCTCATTTTGGCATGGTCACATGTCTCATAATAAAGTGCAATATTTATGATCCCTTTTATTTGCTTTTAATTTGTTTACATTTTTCTGATTCTGCAAGGGGTATGTAAACTTGTCAAGACCTGTAGCTATTAATTGTATTAAAATGAATAAATGACCTCTGAAAATATGATAAGATCTTGCTCTTTAAGGTCAGTCAACCAAGCAATATCAGAACCCAGTTGTGTGTCCATGAAGAGTGAACGGTCAATGGGATGCCCTCCAAAATTCAATGACAAAGGATGTCTTCCTGATCACAGGTAATTAGATTGTGAGGGGACATAAACATTTGGAATACTGAGTCCATGATGCATTTTATACAGCCTTTTCACAGTAACTACCTTACTTATCTAGGCAGACCCATATACTATATTACCCTTCCACCACCACCAGGCTTGTTCCATGTTTGAAACATTTTGATGTGTCAAGACTTTTTTGTTTTTCAGAGTCCGGCAGGAGAAGTCGGACAGAGAAACTGGACAGTACAGCTGGAAAAGAAACCAGAGAATCAGCATCAGAGACCAAGAGTGAGACTATAATTTACATATCTAAAAACAAATAGCTTAGAAGATAAATTAATTTCTGATCTTCTGACAAATAATGGCTCTAACAGTTTTTTTCCTTCCAAATCTTGTTAAAAAAAACTATTACAAGCAGGCATATTTGGACTGTATTGATCAGACTGCATATGTTTACTAATACACTAATATTTTATATTTATAGCAATGGATCTCAAGTTGACAATGCAGTTAAAAGAAAACTAAAAATGAAGTTTCAGTGTTTATATGAGGGAACTGCAAAGCAAGGAAACCCGACACTCCTGAATGAGATCTACACAGAGCTCTACATCACAGAAGGTCAAAGTGAAGGCTGTAATGAGCATGAGGTGAGACAGATTGAAACACAATCCAGGAGAGCAGCAACAGAGGATACGCCGATCAAATGCAATGACATCTTTAGACCTTTACCTGGACAAGACAAAGCCATCAGAACTGTGCTGACAAAGGGAGTCGCTGGCATTGGAAAAACAGTCTCTGTGCAGAAGTTCATCCTGGACTGGGCTGAAGGGAAAGAGAATCAGGAGATCCACCTCATATTTCCACTTCCTTTTAGAGAGCTCAATTTGATAAAAGACCAAAAACTCAGCCTTTTAGAGCTTCTTTGCATTTTTTTCACAGAAACAAAAGGAATGGGAATATTCAGCAGTGAATATAAAGTGTTGTTCATCTTTGATGGTCTGGATGAGTGTCGTCTGTCTCTGGACTTTCACAGCGATGTGAGGTTGTGTGATGTGACTGAATCAGCCTCAGTGGACGTGCTGCTGATGAACCTCATTGTGGGGAATCTGCTTCCCTCTGCTCTCATCTGGATCACCTCCAGACCAGCAGCAGCTGATCTCGTCCCCTCTGAGTGTGTCCATCGAGTGACAGAGGTACGAGGCTTCAATGAGCCACAGAAGCAGGAATACTTCAGGAAGAGAATCAGTGATCAGAGTCTGGCTAAGATGTGACAGAAGCGTCAGTGTACTCCGGATTGTGCACTCAGATCTTCAGAGAGGAGTTGGGCTTGTATCAGGGGAAGGTCTACTGCTTTGTTCATCTGAGCATTCAGGAACACCTTGCAGCTCTGTATGGGCACCTGTCCTTCATAAATGACAACATAAATGTGTTTGATCTGATTAACAAAGAAAGGTTGTTGTCAAAATGTTTGAACTTTATGAAATATAATTCATCAAAAGAGATTTTGATATCAAATTTTCATCAGAAAGCTGTGGACAAGACATTACATAGTAAGAATGGACATTTGGACCTTTTTCTCCGTTTCCTTCTGGGCTTCTCACTGGAGTGCAATCAGACTCTTTTACAAGGCCTTCTAACGCAGACAGGAAACAGCTCGCATAATAAAGAGAAAACTGTTCAGTACATCAAAAAGAAGATCGAGAAGAATCCTTCTCCAGAGAAATTCCTTAATCTGTTTCACTGTCTGAGTGAACTAGGTGACTGTTCTCTAATGGAGCGAATTCAACATTATGTGACAGCTGGAACAGTAAATAAAGTGAAACTGTCCTCCTCACAGTGGTCAGCTTTAATATTTGTGCTTTTGACATCAGAGCAAGAGATGAATGTGTTTAAGCTCAAAGATTTTGTTGGATCACAAATTAAAGCTGATGAAGTTCTTCTAAAGCTGCTGCCTGTGGTTAAAGCATACAGATCAGCTCAGTAAGTAACGCTAGGCAATCATTTAAATGGAGTTCAGTTTGTTAAAGTCTACAGACATGTTTGCATGAGTTTAGTATATAGGCCTAACACTTCATTAACATTTGCGGTAATATATTATGAATATCCAGTTTTTAGTTGAGTCCTGAATTTGTCTGTGAACTGAAATAGAAATGCAACATCAATTAAATCTGAAACCGAGAGAGAATGAACTATAGCAGCAGCATCCAATCCTGCACCTGGAGGGCCGCGCAGTCCTGCAAAATTTAGTTCCAACCTCAATTAAACACACCTGAACCAGCTAATCAAGGACTTCAGATTGGGGCTAAACTCTGCAGCACGTTGGCCCTCCTGGAGCAGGATTGGACACCCCTGAACTACATGATTCAGGAGTGAAGCTGTAAAAACCGTTCAATCATTCACAGCACTAGTTTGAAAAATCATGATCTTATGATCTTACAGTAACGATTGGTTATCAACTCAGTTAATTGTTGTATACATGCATACTAGAAAAATGCTCAAGTGTCATTGTCTCTGCAGGTTGAACAGTTGTGGTGTTACAGATGAATGTTGTGTTGCTCTGGCTTCAGTTCTGAGATCAAATCCCTCACAACTGAGAGAACTGAATGTATCTGGGAATAAACTGGGAAATTCAGGAGTGAAGATGTTCTCATCTGGACTAGAGAATCCTCACTGTAAACTGGAGAAACTGTGGTAAAATCATCTCTCTGAGAGTTGCAAATGAACTACTGAAGTGTTGTAGAATTAGAGTTTTGACTGTGACTTGCAAATAAGCAGAACACATTATCAAAGATCAGCTATTAGCGTTAAACGGACCAGCGTGGGAAAAATAATGGTGCAACAGTCACTGTGAGAGGTTAAACAGAAAACACTCCTGAACGGAGAAGAAACTTCGTTTGAATCACTGTCCCTCCAAATAACCACAACTTGCGTCTCAAATAAACATATTTAGCTTAAGTCTTTAGTAATGAACTCAATGTACAGGGCATGTTATAATAATCACATTCAATCTGAGCACTGTTAATGATTGGAGGGAAATTATTTAGTTTATTTTCAGGATCACAGTTTCATCCAGTGTTTGAAACTGGCTGGTACTAAATGGTAGAGTGTCACGTATCCGGTCCATGAACTTCCGTCTGCTAGCCATCAGAGGTCACCCTTCCCATTTTATTACCCCTTTAGTCTTGCCCCTTTTGACTTTGTTCGCCGTTCGTTGACCTACGCTAGCCCTAGGACTATTCTTGTGTCTTGCCCGCCATATACCTGTTTGCCATTATCTGACCCATGCCTGTTTTATGACCACGTCTCTGTCTTCTCCTAATAAATAGCTTGCAAGTGGATCCGCACGTCTCACGTCTTGTCAGCCCCGTTACATAGAGAGAGTACCATTATAGAATTTAATATTATAATCCATCCATCTCTTCTTCAAACTACTTATTCTCTGTAGCATCGTGGACAGATTGTAATAATTGAATATAATGTAATAACAGTAAAATGTCCCAAAAACATTGTGACAAAATCATTTATTATAGCTCAACATTTTACTAAGAGGTTAGGAGGTATTCTAGTCTACCACAGCAACCATTAATAGTGCCGCAGCTAAATATATTTAATGTTTTATTATAGTATTCTTTTTTTTTATTCATCTATGTTATGAACTGACAGAGTTAGTTTTGTGTCATTTTTCTCTGCAGGTTGAGGTATTGTGAAATCACAGATGAAGGTTGTGCTGCTCTGGCTTCAGCTCTGAGATCAAACCCCTCACACCTGAGAGAACTGGATCTGTCATGGAATAAACTAGGAGACTCAGGACTGAAGCAGCTCTGTGAAGGACTGAAGGATCCTCAGTGTAAACTGGAGAAACTGTGGTAAGATCATGTCTGCAAGAATTCAATCTGAACTGGTCCTCGGAGAGGAAGCCCCACTCTCTCATCACCCCACTGAAGAGTAATCTGATGTATTCTTTATATTGATGTGATTCATGTTTTCTCTCATCTAATTATCATACAGTTTTTGTAAACGCCAATTAGTGAATAATGCTCCAGATTTGTTCTGTGTCCCAAGATTGGTTCCACACAGAACATAAATCATTTCTCATAAATTGATATAATACTGAACATAATATTTTATTTATCCACATGGATCAGTTAAACCATCTTACACTATTAAGGAAGCTGTGCAACAGCAGCATCAGCAGTGGCTAATTTATGTTGTTTCCACTTCACCTGCTGTTGTTTTTATCGTAATCATTCGTAATCATCATTATTTTTTCTCTCAGGAATGGCCCAACTGTGAGTGTTGCCATCTAGTGGGCCCACTAATTAGTACAGTCATTTATGTGTCATACATGTGCTGACACTTTCACTGTATGCAAGACTAGAAAGGTTGAGCTGCATGTGTAAGTCTGCACCATAGACTGATTAAAACAATGGACATAGTCTTCATGACGTCACCCATAGGTTTCTGAAGAGCATTTTTGAAGGCCAAAGTGGGTGGAGCCAGCTGTCGCCATCTTGGCAGCAAGTCACCGTACGTCACTCCAGGGTAATCAAAAATGGGCAAAGAGGCGGGATGTGGGTGGAGCTGAGGTGCCTGGTTGCTGAAACCACGCCCGCCTAGCTCGGCAGAGATGCCAAGTTCAGCGGCTGGAATTAGCTAAGGTGACGTGACGGCTAACAGACAGCAGACAAACTGCTAGTAGTGATAGCAGCGGCAATCCACCTGTCACTCAAGTATGCAGAACTTTAAAGGGGTCATATGATTTCAAGTTTTCCTTTCTCTTTGGAGTGTTACAAGCTCTTGGTGCATAAAGAAGATCTGTAAAGTTGCAAAGACTAAAGTCTCAAATCCAAAGAGATATTCTTTATAAAAGTTAAGAGTCAACCATGCCTACCTAAAACGGCTCGTTCGAACACGCCCCCACATATCTACCTCACTATGTGGGAAGATTTACATAACGCCGCCCAAATGTTCACGCAAAAAAAGAAGGCGTAACTTTTATTCTCGATGTAGTTTTGTTGTTTCCGCCGCCATGTCATAAAGATGCTGTGTGCTTCGTTGTGAAAGCGAAGCTACTTTGGTCTTCCAAAAGAGGACGATATCCGCTCCGACATGCCTAGAGCTGATCCGTGCTGGTCGCGGAGGGAATACATCAACTTAGTGCTGTGGAGCCTGTGAGTAAGTTTTTTTATATTTAAAGGATTTGCCACTGACGATTCAAACGCGAGTTTTGAGCAGTGTAGAGTGGCACTTGTTGTTTGTCGTTTCACCAGACATGGTTTTATGTTTACGCAACGCAACGTGTAAAAACACATTATACTGATAAGTCATTATAATCAGTAATTATTTCCCCACTGGGTGCAGCAAATGACTTGTTTGTAATGGGTTTTCATGTTTTTGTCTCATCGCTCCGGCCGGACAGGGCATCAACAGTATGTGAGGGGCGTAACATTTCCGTCTCACGCTTGAGGTATTCGGCCAATGACTCCCTTTTGGTCTCTAGCGGCCAGTCGATGAATTGCAGTTAAGTCACCTCCGTGTTGGATTCAAGAGAGAGACCGGAAGCTTGCCGCTTGGTCCACACAGATGCTGATGATGAAATGTAGAATTTTTTTTTTTAATTTTCAGAAAATGGATAACTAAAGCATACTTTCATCACTGTGACATGGTTTAAGGTTGCTATCAGTTTTTGATAATACATTCCTTCTTATGTGACCGTTGTGTCATTGTTTTCCGCAGTTTGAGCAGTTGTGATGTCACAGATGAAGGTTGTGTCGCTCTGGCATCAGTTATAAAATCAAACCCCTCACAGCTGAGAGAACTGAACCTCTCATGGAATAAACTAAGAGACCCGGGAGTAAAGTTGCTCTCTGGTGGATTGGAGAATCCTCACTGTAAACTGGAGACATTGTGGTAAGATGAAAAAGACCTGAAAAGGTGCAGTAAGAAGGCAAAAAGAAGTGATTATTATAATTAATAATTTAAGATTAATAAAAATGATCAAGCTTATAATTTTTCTGTCTCTCTTAACTTATTTTACCGTTAATATAAATGTGATTGGAGGAATATCAGTTATTTTCATACCAAACTGAGATTTCAGTAAATGGCTTTCTACATATTGAAACTGAGGAGTGTGTCATTGTTCTCTGCAGGTTCAGTGATTGCAGTGTCACATATCATGGCTGTGCTGCTCTGGCTTCAGCTCTGAGATCAAACCCCTCACACCTGAGAGAACTGGATCTGACTAAAAATAAACTGACAGACTCCGGAGTGAAGCTGCTGTCTGATATAAGGAATAATGCTGATTATAAACTGGAGACACTGCGGTGAGTAACTAACGTAACTATTATGTGACTTAATGAGCAGTAAGTGTATGTGTGCAGTAAGTAAGTACAGGTGTAAATTTGGATTGTATTATATTGGGTTGTATTTTTATACAGTTTGATGGATGTGACTG